ACTTCAGATCGATTTCGAGACTTTTTATGAAAATCATGGCTGTCAGGCGGTGGATAGAACTTATAGCAATGCTGACTTCAAATCGTTTCCTTCTGAAATGGGACAGTCTATAGAGTTTGTGCTATCGCCAGCAGTGAGCTGGGTCCTCTATGGTAAGAATGTCTTCGTCTAAATGATGGTTGTCTCAGCTATGTTGTCACTTGTCTGATTGAATGAGGGAGTTGTGAGTTAGGGTTGGGGTGGGAGTACAATGGAAAGTCTTTCAAATGGTTTGTATGACGTTACAAACTGAATGATCTGTAAAACTGACGTCTTCCGAGACAACCCAGCTCTCGCCATTTATACACTCACATAATATTTAATTTCATCAAAAAAATACCGAAAAAACAAAAGAAGGCTGTATGTAAGTACATCATTAATAGAGTTCTTCAGAATATCTAGTCGCGTGGGTGACCGGTAGATTATTTAAAACTAGCTTTTATGGATAAACTGATAAACAAACAGATAACAAGTGAATGTAAACGATCTGAATGCAAAATAGCATTACACAAATTGGGAAGGGGAATGACACATCATCAACTTGACTTGCCCGAACACCAACTAAACCATAACTTTTGGCTAATAGCGGTAATATATATTATAGAAAGCCCACCCTCTCTTCAGATACTGTGACTTACACCTAAAATGATTGCCCCACGTTTATTTTATCTACATTATTGACCATGATAAAAACATACACTCAGCATTTTGAGTTACATCATTATTACTTCAATTGCTGTTTCTATGGCAACCACAATCACTTCTTATTTAATAGATTGGTCATAAATTCAAGGGCAACCTCTGCTATTTTTGATTAAAAGCTGTTGAATTATAAACTTGAAATGAAAAATAATTCCTGAAATTGTTTCCATGGCAACCATATCTAAATCTTTGCCAAAATCTAATCGATCGGTCCGTATTAGGGAGTGGCCCTTCTGAAAACATCATGTAAAGCATTTCATACAGTTTTTTTAAGTTATAAATATAACACTCATTCGAGAAATTGTAGTTTCCATGGCAACCGGATCCACACATTTCTGGTTAGGATGCTTTGACAGCTCATGGTGTGGCTTCCTTGTTATAAATAATGAAAAATTTCATAAGTTGAAGTGTTTTTCTGATCTTACGATCCTTCATTGATGTAGTACGTGTTGTGAAGTGGTCAGGACTACTATTTGACTAAGTTGTACGCAGACTGAGATATATCACCGGTGGTGTTAATTAAACACCTGCACCCACATATGAGTCGTCGAGCCCCTGTGAGATAAACGTGTGCCGTATCAGTGGTGATGCTGGAATATAAACAGATTATTTCATATATCCGCATAACCTTAACCTTTCTGCATTGAAATAGTTTGCATTCGAAACAGATACTCCTCCCGTCTACCAGTGTGTAATTATTGATACAATGACGCGTGTGTAAATTATACGTGAAAGAAAATACAATGTTCACTGCTATTAAAAATTCAAATACTAAAATGAAAATAAACATTTTCTTCATTCATTTAACGTGTCGTGACGGAAAACTTAACCAGAAACGTGGGCTAGCAACTCTACAAAACACCCTGTGCACACTAACGGGGTCCATTGATGGACTAATACAAAGTAAACAATTAACATGTCCCTAAAGCAAATATATTTTGTGATAGATCATCAGCTTTTTTGAACAATATTATTTTTATGTTTGCCTGAGCATTTGTAAATATTAAAAGTATGCATGGTTACAAAATGTGGTATATATATATATATATATATATATATATATATATATATATATATATATATATATATATATATATATATTGTAATAGCTCGTAAAATTGATTATAAATTAAATTATCTCAAAAATGTCAATAGAATATGCACAGTAGTCTAATTCGTTGTTTGTGTGTGTTACTTTAAATTCGGTAAACTACCAGCGATAGGATGGTTCATTATATTTTCATGTTAAAGTAAATCACGTCAGCTATACGAGTATATAAAAAACAAAATAAATTAAGAATATAGTTTAACTAAACAAAGACTAAACTTGAACTTGGTTTATGCATCTTGGTTTTCAGGAATATAAATAGAAGCATGTCAATTGTCAATGTCACAATCACGCAATATAGAGAAATCGTTTTCATAAATGTTGTTTGGTGGTTGCCCCACATACACACATTTACATTTATCATAGCTTGAAATTATGACACTGTGAATCTCAACTTCCAAAATACTGACAGAAAAATTACCTATTAAGTGAAATTAATGTTGCATCGAAATGCTGCAGGCATTCAGTATATGGGGAAGTGTCAACGATTGGTCTGAAATACGCCATTTCAATGATATAAGTTTATGTTTGTTTTATTATAGAGGAAGTAAAATTTAAATAAGTTGCTCTACTAGTATTGTATTTATCATATCAGTATTTTTTTAACTCCTAAACTTAATAATGCGATATCCTTTTCAAGAGCATGGCCGTGATTGGTTGAGTTTCATTGGACTCGGACTGTTTGTATTTAACATTGCGCATGATCGAATCGAACGGACACACTTCGCTAGAGACCACTTGTTGAGACACAACAGAGTGATATATCCGTCATGAAAAGCTGAAAGTCAATTGACTAACCTCAGATCATATTAAATTTTGCGATTGTGTATCACTAGCACTCTCACTGCTAAAACATCAGTTGCTGAAAATAGAACCCTTACACAGCCAATTACAAGGCACGTATTGGTATGACACAATGAAAACAAAGAATAACCACTGGTGGCGCTGTATACAGTCGAAACCTACTAGTATTTAGGCTTGTCAACTCTCTCGCCGGCATCAGTGTAAAAAGCAGAAATACTTTTTAAATTTGGTGACCAGTTTAGTATGATAAAAAGCGTGTACTACGTATAAATAACCATAATAGACAGTTTGGGGGTCAAGACCAGCTTTTTCATAATGAATGTTTTCTATTACTATAATTACGCTTTCAATTAATATTCATGAGATATGTCTACGTTATAAAACTTGTTAGTAGCATATTGCGTACGCAGTACGCATGCTTCTGGCTCTTTTTCTATATTCACAACGCATGCGTCATCAGTGAGGTCATTTGCAATTTACGTTTTATGCAGGTAACGTTCTGCACCGTCAATGATGGTGATGAACGTTGTGTCCGTTTTCGAAACCCACACATAAGCGTCGCAAATAGACATATACACAAGCTGACAAGCCACACCAACCCGGCGACTGCTGAGATTGCAAAGGATTTGTGCACACTCCCACCATGTCATACGCTGTGGTTCCCCCCGGTCTTGGTCAGTAGATGTACTTTCGTGGAAAATCTCTGCGTTGGCATTCATAGTTACAGGCAGGGCGATCTGGTTGTCCAAATGGTTTTGCGTTAAGAATGTTTTGTACATAGTTAGTGTAGAGTAGTGGTCAAATGTTCGTATTCAAGTTGTCTGGAAGCTAAAAATAGACAGTATTCTTGAGAAGGTCACGTGATAGATCTTCTGAGGGTGCATGTTGGGTGTTTTGAAGGGTAAACGTTTCTCGGCACCCAAAACGTACACACACCATGTACATTTACTTGTGATGCATGCTCTATGAATATCACACAGACAATAATTACTGAATCCCTATCCCTGTAATGTATTTCCTAAGCCAACACCCCCCCCCCCCATCATATTGGCACATGGTATCCGGGTAGTATTGCCCGTCTTCTTTGTAAAACACTATGTTTGGGAATACCCTGCGTTTTCATTCAGTTTCGTTTAACCCCAATCATATACGCTACAAAAACAGAATTAACCAACGTATTGGTGTGATAATCTATACACAGTCCTTCTATCACTATAGTACTCTTTATGTGCATCGCAGATATACTCACCAAGCATAATATCGTAGGTCAAAATTCAAATAATTCACCGCGAACGAGGTCAATGATACCGAGCTATGTACGCGAGTCGAAATCGAAAATTGGCTTAGAATCTGAAACGCAGTATGTACTGGGACACTATCTTTTGAGTTATAATTCCGTTGGTGAAGCCAAAAATGGAATTTCCTGTCGGTCGTCAATATTGACTCTTGTGACGTACGGTGACCTTTGGATTATTGCCAACGCAAAACGGAACATGTCTTACAGTATGACGATGGTACAAGCGTATGTCACGACTCGTATCACTGTCTGTGTGCACAGTACAATATGCGTATTTTTCATTCACCGGGGAGACGCCGAGTGTACCGAATTTACCGCCGCGTGACCAGGCTACAATTATCTCGAATTATATATTCACCCTCGGACTAGCGGGTTTAGTGAGGCTAATTTTTGTTTGACAATTTTAACAAACATGAAAGTTACAACACAATGTTGAATGAAAATTAGAAAGTTCATTACGTAGAACCAGCCCTTCTCTCCCCTCCCCTCCCCCTCCTCAAGGCTAATGCATGATAGTTTAAATCATAAAATCATGTTGTGCGACCTAGTTTTTGGACACTGTTAAATATGTAACTATGGGAACGATTTGCTAACTAACGATAACACAACGCCCAAATAGTGATGATTCATCCCTTCCATATCGGTAATGGAAACATTTAGACGATGTGATGCGCATGCGCAACTCAGTGCTACGTATCATTTCGCGAGTGGGTGCTCAGTTAGCCTGTATATGAATGAAAGCGGCCTGATGCAAAACTCGTGATGTCATAGCTTAAAATAGAAAATGTGTCAGAACCACGTGGAAGTTGAGGTAATTACCCGCCCAAATGTTTACTGACGTACAGAGCCAGTATAAAAGAATACCTCAACGACATCGCAACGTTTCTTTCACAGTAGTGGGTCGTGACAGTGAGATCAGCGCTGCTAGCACGACACAGTGCCGGTGACTCGGGCATATTTACATCAGCCGCCAAGGACTTTTGTTTACACACTCGCTTAGGAGATCACTGGTGATTTTAAGCAATATAGGATGCTGTTACTTGCATGTATATCATGTATGTGTTGCCCCCACTTGGACAAAATGGATGCGACGAGTACAAGGCCTCGCGTCAGTTTTGTCCATGCGGGGGAGTTCTTTAGCAACGTTGGACTGTTAAGTGAATAACACGAAGCCTTTTGCGAGGGAGCGGATGAAGATTTCTAGTACAAGCTTGACGTTTCTGCAAAATTATTTGAATTTCCAGTCCTGAATCGGACGGCGAATAGGACGGGTATGACGACTTTTTCATCAGGTTTATGGGAAATCCCAAAAAATGCACGATTTATGGACACCCACATGAATCGCTAGCATGCGACAATCAACAATCAATCAATTTCGAAAACATGCAATATATATTGTTATTTTGTTAATGAGCGGATATTTAATGTAGTCGATGAGATGATGATGCAAATTGGCAACTAGTTTCATCATGGATAAAAATAGCATTGGGTGGCATTGAGGCCGTCCATCCTTTCATAAAAAGAGCAGTGGCTGTTACTTGTGTGGCCACTATTCCAGCCCTCCAGTGTGTTCCAGCCCTCTAAAGTCAGATAACTTAGCGGGTTGATTTAATTCCTCATTTTACTCTTTTATCGTAGTATAAATCAGAATCGGTCTTTCTATTTTCATTTTGGTACTTTTGTTTCCTGTTTCTGACTGGATTCTTTTCTTTTCAATAGCGCCGTGTCGTGATGACGTCCTGGGTGCGGCTCTTCACCAAACAGGGGAAGATGATGGTATTCATTAGCAACTGCCAGTACAATGGAATTTCTTTTTATAAACTGGGATTTCCCCCTTACGTTTATCACGTGACGTGACGTCAATATGGATTGCGAATACACGCATGTGCGAGCACAGTGGCTTAGGGGTTGATCAATATCAATTCCGGGAGAGGATCAGTGGCGGATCTAGGGTGGTTCTTGGTGTTCTGACCCCCCTTGAAAAATGTATTCAATTTGTTTTTGCATAATATAGAAAAACTTAGTCTTGCGATTTCAAAGTTTGGACCCCCCGCCATAAAATTCCTGTATCCGCCCCTGGGGATTAAAAACAAATTTAATTTCGGGGTTGTGTTGCTGTAGTATTATATTGCTTGTTCTTTCAAATTTGTCCGAGTTTTTTTTACCACCATTTTTTTCATTTTTTTTTTTGATGATTTCACTGTATTTTTCATTTCAACTGTTTGTAATATTTGGGTATGCAGATTTTTTCATGAGTTCTTCCTGCGATTTGTTTTTTCAATTCTGCGATCGTCCCTCCTTCTCCATAGGTTATAATGGTTTACCCCTAATCAAAACTATTCCGTTGTAAATAGTGTGACCCCCCCCCCCCTCATATCACGACGAAACATATACGGGTACATACTTGAACGCAGGTGAGGTGAATAGAAGACTCAAATAATTTTCATTTTAAGTCGGTGTGTATTCTTCAAATTTTGGTGTGGGTACATTTACCACCATATCGAAATAATGAATATGAACACAACGACCTGAATGTATGTGAAAATAGTCTGCCACCCCTTTATTTCAAATGGGCTAACCTTTAATCTGCTTACAGTGACAAATTAGTTTACGACAGGGATTCCTCTTCTTACTAGTATTTGAGGAGCACAACGCTACAGACTTGAAGAATCTTTTTTACCAAGAATCCAACCTCGAATTAGTTAATCGCTCGGGGTAGAGTGTGACACCATGGTTGTGGTCAGCGATCACGTGTTATTAATGTATGTATGTTTTACTTTACTCGTAATTTGTATGTCAACGAGTAAAAATAACTTATCACCGATAGGTGGCGCTGTTATACCAGCTTATAATGATGTTTGGATGGAAGATGAACTGATTTTGTATAGTGATATTTATTCTGTCACGTCAAAACAAACACGCAATAATTTGATATAACAAGCATTTCCAGCTACCGCACAAAAAACGACATGAAATAAATGCGAATAAGTGCAGCAATAAATAAACAAATAATGTATCACCCACTTATTGTTACTAGAGGATAGTCGTCACTTTATTTGGACTATGAACAAATAATTACACAAATTGTAGGTGTGTGAAAGCTGAAAAATCATATATTGTCGCTTGGTATAAAATATAGAAATACTCAAAAATATGCTTTAACGCTACTTAAATAGGTATTATGTTACACATCAACATGTTTTATTTATGTTCTATCAGGTGGAAAAGACTTGTTTTTAAAATGTTTAAAAGTTATCGATGTATAAGTAGTTCTAACCCTTTCCCTGCGCATAGTGAACAACTATACGAATAACGAAAGTACGCTTCAAATCAAATAATATTCTATTGATGACCATGAAACTAAAAGGAAACCCGCCAAACCCAGGGATTGCACCAAGGAATCATGAGACACAATTGTTTATCATGTTGTGTTAATCTATTTTTTGTTATCTATTGTAATTTTAACCCAGAAAGCAAATTTGTTGTGAAATTGGACTTAAATGGAGATGCCCCTTTAACATACCGCTAATACAAATTCAAAACATAGCACACATATGGATGCATTGCCCACTGATGGGGCAATTAATTTCATATCTTTTATTTAACAATTGTATTAACACGATATATTTCTTTCAAAGTTCATAAATCTCTATTGACATCGCACAAAATAAAAGATAAGCGCCATCAATTGTGTTATAAATTTTCCAACCAGAATTCATGGAATAGGTGTTTTCACGGGTCTTAGTACAAAATTCATATAGGAAAGTCCAAGAACACGAAACAAATAACTGACAAAAAAATCGACAAAGAAATCCACAAGAACAAAGCAACTAACAAGTACACTAACTTGTAACAGTGTTATTGTATTTACCCACAAGGTCAAATCTGCAAAAAAATAAAAACAAAATTTTTGAATGTTAGTGCTATTCGCTTTCCACAAAATCCCTGGTTTAATAGTTTGAACAAAAAAGACACTGTCTTCATATGTACTACATGCTTGTGCAAAGCGAGTTAGTTTGGAAATGTATACCCATTAAATAAATTTCTTCTGTCATTTAGAGATTCTGTAGTTTCTTTAATCTCAAGTTCAACTGGATATATCATTGGAATATAATCACTAAATGTAAAATTATTTTGAAGTAATGTATTTTTTTTTTAATATTATATGAATAAAAAAAATATAAAAGAAAAAAAATCACTAAATGTAAGACTATTTATTGAATAGACTTCGGTCTTCAGGCTACATTTACTTATGTTATGCCCTGGCATTGACGTTCCAATTTTACAGTAGCAACCTAAACAGTTTCGCTATGTTTTGTGAGAACTCATTACAGATGTTACATTTATATCAAGCGTGGCGAACACCACACTCACCAGGTCATATTCAAATGTGATTTCAGCCTGTGTCTTACCCCCGTTCTTCTCAGTACCTAAATTACGTGTATATGTTTTGTGGTGAATCAATATACCACGTTAACACAACTTTCCCTCCCTCTCAATTGTATGTAAAATACCTTATTTCATCTGTAGTGACACATTTTGTGTTGTATCAACAACCTGCTTGGTAACACAACTCCCACTTCTTACTTCTGGACCTGTAATATTATATTTTACTGACGGAGTTAAGAAACGGATCAAATTATTTAAAACGCTTTTCCAGTTGTCTGGATATTTCGTTTTCCATTTTTTTCCAGTTGACCACTATGTTACATGTCTTTGGCTGCATGTACGATTTCGAAAACAACATCCAAAATTCAAATTAGCTTGCACTTCCTTACATTCAACATTCTCACTTCGACTACAAGTTCGAAATTTACTTCTGTTTACAAGTATTCATTTTTGTTCATAACTTACATTTAGTTGTAACGCGCACATAAAATGCTCACTCAAAGGCTTTGAACATTCACCAAGGCTATAATTCTATCGCCAGAATAGTATAGGTCGGTGATCGGTAATATATCATGTATAAGGTACCCTTTTGTTGAACGGAAGACAATGGCTGTTACATGTCAGCACGTCCTACAATTTGGTAGGTGTGTACCCAGTATGTGCTGAACCGTACATACTGTGTCAATGTCCTGTATATGAGATACGTATGTAGAAAGTCTGAACACCGTCTCCGTCTATAAGGGACAATACCTTACTGTGAACGTGCAATGAATCTCACGTTCATTCTCAGCACTAATGTCGTCAGCGTGGATCCCAATTCGCTGGTAACACCAGATCGCGACTATGGCCGCCTCGGCACAATCGTAGTGTCAACGATACTTGTAGCCATTATGGCTGTCACTTTGTTTATGAATTCGCTGATAATCCTCGCGTTTTGTACATCCAGACACGTCCGTAAGATAAACAACTACTTCTTTTTCAGCCTGGCACTCACCGATATACTTATGGCTGTGCTGGTCATGCCATGGATGGCCACGGAACAGTTATTGGGTACGTGGATGTTCGGTAAAGAGCTGTGCTTAGTTTGGTTATGTGCTGACTATTTTCTTTCATCGGCATCTGTGTTCAATATGACATTCATTTGTATCGACAGATATCTGAATATCGTTCACCCTTTGTCTTATCCAGCTAGCAGGACACCGAAACGGATTATTGCCATGATTGTAGCGGCGTGGGTTCTAGGATTGCTCGCCGAGTTACCAGCCACGCTTTTATGGGAACCGATCGGACAAAAGAGTGTGATCAACTACACGCATACATGTGACGTTGAATGGGTTGCCAATGTTTACTACACCGTTCTCAGTACGGTCCTGACTGTTTTCGTGCCGTTTATCGTCATGACGGTGCTGTACTCCCGATTGTATTGCGCCATAAGACGGAGTTTACGCTGGATTAGAAAACACTCTTTCGCCGGGTTCGAAAGCAGCGAATCGATAAATCAGTACACACAGGTTAATCACCACAATGGCGATGGCATACCGCTCGAATGTGCCGACTCATTGCACAGCCACCACAGCACTAGCGGGTGGTCACTAGCGAGGTTATTACTACAGAATCCCGACAGTCACACAAAACGAAGGGGTAACAAGAAACATCGTGTTTTAAAAGATAAAAAAACTGCCAAAACTCTTGGGATTTTATTAGGATTTTTTGCGTTCTCGTGGCTTCCCTGGCAAGTAGTGAGTATCACAGACGCGGCGTGTGGGTATTACTGTGTCCCTACACTTTTGTATGACATTTGCCTCTGGTTACAATATTCCAACTCTATGATTAACCCATTCCTGTATATATTTAGAGACGACAGCTTTCGCATTGCTGTTTATGGAATTTTGACAAAATGTTCTTTCACCAGTGGCAGGTAGCACCCGTTATGAACGAGTTAAACTGGTGAGTCCCTTTTGCACCTCCACCCCTAACCCTAACTGTAATCCAACCCCTACCCCCCAGCGCTCTCCAATTCAATTGTAAATGCTCCTCCTAAGGACACCTATAGATATCTAGAGGGGGACATGTACAATTTAATTAGAGGGCTGGAGTGAAGGTTAGAGTTAGGGTTAGAAGTAGGGTGCAAAAGGAATCCTTTTCGGAACGAGTTAGTGTATCGGTTTGGAATACGTGCACTATACATTATTTCATATGTACTGGAGAACAAACTGTCATTTGCCGTGGAATAACATTGGTATTGTCTACAACTGACATGCAAATGAGATAAAATAGTAACTTATAAAGTTGGGTTTTCTTTCTATTTGTTGCATAGCGTGAACTGCCGGGGTACCATAGAGAGAGCACTCAAGAACGCGAACAAAGTAATAAAAAAATACTATTGTCGAGAAAAATAGACGCGCAGTCAAGCATAAAAAACAAGACAAAAACGTGATGAATTGAGGGTATTTTAAAATGGCTGCTTCCAAGTAAAGTTTAGCACGAGTGTCGGGTGAGTAACTATTTCTAATGTTTATGTTTTACAAATCGGAGTATGCAAGTAAATATCATTACTAAAGTACACTGCACTGTGTCTATGTCTCCAAATAGTAATATCAAAAACGGTTGGGATTCTAGTTTCGATGTTCAGAATCTTGATTCACTGCACGGCTTTTGTACTATGTACATTGTGAGTTACATATATTTGTGTGTTGTAATATGTTATATTAGTACATTTAATCGAAATTGTCTATTTTGTTTGTGTGTTTTTTTTAATTACTGTACTTTACTTTTTATAAATATAACAATGTACAATACAATGTAAAAAATGAATCGATTAAATATGAATAATATTACATATAAATATGTGTGAACAAAAAGCAAACTTGAACTATTCGTTCCTGTCATGACCTTGTTCTTTATCTATTGCAGCTATGAATATACATGTATTAAATACATAAATACAGTTACTGAAGTTGTAGATGTACCAGCTTACGTGATATTTCGGAATATCATGATCACGATTGTTTTATTTTGGCAAGGAAATAAACCGTAAAATAAATGTCTGGTTCCACTCCATATATGACGTTAAGTCTACTGATGATACAGTGTTCTGCACTTCATTAATATGCATAATAGTAACTAGTAATTCATGTTCGGATTATGAGTTATGGTGGCGAACAGCATGGCAGAAACAATTGGAAATTCTGATTTAGATGAGCTCTCTAAAGGAGTACGCCAATATGACAAAATAAATGAAAGCCGGACCAGTGTTTTAATTTGTGTGGTTATTTTTATCCCACACCGTGCCTTAAAACTGCAGTCAGGTTATTCCATTCCTGTCTATCCTTAGCCGCCATTTCTGCACTACTCCAGGTTAGGTTCGCTTGGGCAAGTTCTGTGGTAAAGATTCATCAAAACAATAAATTTATAGCTGAATACTGTTTAATAGTTATTATTGAACACACCGTGTTCTGTATCAAATATAACTATAAATATAATTACATATTTGAGGAACTAGAGAATATTATATGCAAATTTGGTGACATTGATATAATTCACTACATATTTGTGTAGGTATGTATCTTATTCACTTTTTCCGATAAACAATTTATTTGATTAAAACTATATACAGATTTATTATTATTATTGTTGTATAGAGACTGAAAATACAAAATGAAATGTATTGATTTATTAATTTTTGTACAATACTCCGAATAGCTTTTGTTTGAGAAATACATGTACTAATTAAAATGAAACAAATTGTTACTTCAATATTGTGCTACATACGTCATTTTTATCAATACCAATGTAAAGTTTCAGTTTACTTACTGTCATTTACAACTTGAGCCTAAATGTGATGAATATATTCAAATTTCAATCCATTTTTTTGCCATACGTGTTGTATGGAAATGTATCGCCATGCAAACTTTGGTGTTGTCTCAATCTTACCTGAGAACTACATATTTCATTTTCATGTTTATGTCCAGCGTGCTTCTCTTGATGAGCTTTCATCGTAGCACACGACTAGGGCTGAAATCCACACAGTCTACATTCAGGCAACGCCTTTTATTTGTTTGTGAGTTTCACATTATGTTCCGCAATTTTTGTTTCTGAAACTTCCTCATTGCACATGTAGCAATGGAGTATATATACATGCGTGTTGCTATGGGTATGCCGTCCCAAACACGTTTTCGTCTTGTACAACTGAATCTGATACAACTTTCAAATTTACAATTGAAAGTACTTCTTTCTGAATTTACCTCCGTGTTCCCATAGTGTATGTAGTGATGACAGATGTTATGTCCTGTAGTAGACTT